GAAAACCTTCCACATCCAATCTAAATCCACAAGATTAAATCCTGTTCAGGCTCTGTTTAGGGCTAGTGCAGGGAAGAAATGGTAGTGGAAAATTGTAAGGATTTTAACTGTACCTTTTGACATTCACATAGATTATGCTGTCTGGGGGAAGAATAAAAGACAAATTTATGCTTTTCTTTTTTGAGCTGCTTTAAAATTGGTATCTTTAGATGCTTATTAGTAAAGAGAATTCCACTTTATGATGTAATTTTGTAGACAACAATTTTAGGTCCTAAAAGATTTGATTAAGACAGGCGACCATTAAATATGTGCAATAACAAGGTTTTCCTTTTTTAAAGTGTCATCTGAGATCCTCTACTGCTAAAATGTGGCAATTTAAAATATGATAATGTCATATAACCCAATACAAACATGACAATTACAGCATGTTAATTTTTATATTCTTTAAATGACCTTAGCCTTCATTTCATATTGGCATAAGATTTTATATTGGATTATGAATATCCAAGAGAGAGCTGAGCCATCCTTTTGACATGGTATGGGTTTGGAATAGATCCTCCTGGATCCTGTTTTCTGTTTTTTTCTTCCTGTTCTGATGCAGTATTATACTGACTATACTCAGAACATAGCCTTGAGATTTAGAGCTTTCCTGAGTAAGCTTTTCAGCTGCTTGATCTCCATATACTTCATTCAGAGGAACCTAGTGGAACAGAGCCTGCATCCTGCTGATAGGTGTTTTTGCAATTTGCCTTAGATGTACTTTAGCTCTAATTTTCATTCTCTTACCCAGGTATCTGTGAAAAACCTGTGTTTGCTATTCCTCATTATTTTATGCTTCTGTACTTTCCCTCTGCAACTGGAGTAGTATATTTGTAGTATATTTGATGTAGCACATTTCTTATCTTCCCTTTGTAGTATGTTTGTTAGTTATGCTCCCTTCCCCATCCCTTATTTTACACTGCCGGGAACATTTCATTACTCCATCCTATTACAGTTGCATGAGAAAAGTTTGACCAGAGCCTCTTTCTCCCCTTTTATCAGCTTTTCTAATGTTACAATGTACTTTAAAATCACAATTCTCTCCTCTCTTTGAGATAATAACTTTAAGGGGCCCTACTAGCAGATCTTTTTCTGAAAGCACACCAGATCCTCAGTAGAATGTTTCCCTCTTCTGTTACCACAATTTCATTGATAGCGTAGGCTTAAGGTGTGATTTCTTCTTATTTACTGTCTTAAAAGCTTGTCTTAGAAGCATGTTCTACTCCACAGGGAAAAGATCAGTGATGATGAGTTGACTGAGAAACACAGGGAAAATTTCTGAGGGTCAGTCTAAAGTCAGTCTCAAAGAACTTTCTGGTTTTGGAAAGTGAATGATGCCTAATAGCTTTGAGAATTTTACTTTTGATATGTAAGTAGACAGAATTTAAAACTTGCTCCTTAAAAATTTCATCACATACCCATCAAAAAAAAAAAAGCATCCATATGAAAGTGTTGTGTTTCATCTTGACTGTTTTTCTGCAGTTTTGATATATCTTCTAGTTTTTAATTTACAGAGGCTTGAGCCCTGCTTATAGCTTTACAAGCAGTCTTGAGGTCCACCTGCTTGAGTGATCAGATTTTTTCTGCTGCTTGAAATTAGATTCTGGTTTAAAAGAGGGACTTTCCATTCCTATGTAGCATTGGAAATGTTGCCATTCTCTTAAGAAGTCCCGGTACCTAACAAACCATTTTTTAAGACATGGGATTTCCCAAGAGCAGTTTACACAGCCATGGTTTATAAATATTGTAATAGTCTTTGAAACTTGTACCTCAGACACTAAGAAATGCCATTAATTGCTACTGAGGCACTTATGCTGTAATTATGTTCAGATTTACCCTATCTGTCCTGCTAAACTAATTAAAGCAGATAGAAATATTTTTGCTTAAATGAATTCAGATATTTGATCAAGAATTTTAACTTTGCAAAAGAAGGCAAGATTCCCTTACATAATCACTGTTTTGACCTTGTTCAAGTGAGTGGAGAGGATGGTGAGATAACTCCAGACCACAAAATATCATTTCTTTCTATGTTTTGGTGCAATAGAATGAGTTGTGGGAAAGCAGGCAATTCCCTTATCTTATGAACTTTATCAGGGTCTGCTTGAAAGGGTCTGACAGCAACAGCAGCCACTCTGTTACTTAATCTGAACAGTTGATTAAACCTGCAAGCACATTCAGAGGCATTTAATAATTTTCAGGTGTTTAATTAAAAACATTCAAAGGAATTTAGATGATTGAGTCCAGATTCTCAAAGGCATTTCTGAATTTTCTAAACTTCTAAATGAATTTATGACTTTATCTATAGTGCCTAATTACTTTAAAGGCCAATACCACATTTATACACAGGCCAATGTTTCCAGGCAAAAGTAATCAAGCTCTTTACTAGCCCAGTTTTACAGCACTTGTTTGCTATTTTTCCACTTAATCTAGGGAGGAGGAAAAGGGTAAAGGATGCTGGGAAAATATGGCATATAGAGTTGTAATAGCACACATATAAAATAATTAAATTAAGGTTGCAAGGAATGGGAAATATGAGATATAAAGACTTTGAGATATTTGCTTTTCCAAGGTTAATAAAATCTTAGATATTTTCCCCCAGTTTTCTGATTTTCTTAAAGGAAAGAAAGGTCAAGCTAATTCTTCTATACTTTTTGAAAGCAAACTTTCCCTATCCAAACCCTTGGCGAAGTTTTTAAAGATCTACAGATATAATGATTCAGGAGAATGATTACTTGTGTCACCTCTGCTTATCAAAGGTCATTGCATTTCTTCTGAATGTTCCTGTGTTAAGTATAGTAACTTGTATTTGACTGATGCAAACTCTTTGTAAAGCAGCAGACTTTGATTTGCAGGCATCAGTGGATGGAAAAATTACTCCTTTCTTTTTCCCCATAATAATCACCTTAGCTGTTAAGAAACAGCTGTCAGCGTTTCTAAGCTGAATTTGTCTCTCTTAAGAGTTTTATGTATTTGTTCTTGTTATGCTTTTCTGTGTAGTCTGAAAGAACTCTTCAGTACCTGCTATTTTCTCCCTATGAAGGTCTTCAGACACTGTAATCAAGTCACCTCTTGGTGTTTTTTTTGATAAACTAAATGTGCTCAGCTCTTTATGACAGTCAGAGAATTTTCTCCAGTCCCTCCAGTCCCATTATGCAGCCATTCCAGCTTTCCACAGTCTCTTTATTGCAATATGAACAGGACAGCAATTCCAAATATCATCAGTGACGTCCGTAGAAGTAAAATTGTCCTTCTACTATTCTATTTAATTTAATGGAAATGAGTCCATTTTAGTAGAGAGTTTTGAGTGTTTAGTGAACTTTTGTTTGGTCTTACAGCTGAGACACACATGAAGATAGTATTTTTTCCTTTCAGTTTTTTAACCAGGAGGGAAGTTATTTGTCTGATATGTCCTGTATTTGCTTTTTTTCTAATAGTAAGGACTCATACTTGTGTTTGAACAGTGCCTTAAGGGCTATAATGTGACCTACAGGACAAAATTCTTCCTCTCCTGGAGAGTCTGTTGAGGAGATTGATCTAGTGGGGGGCAGAAGCCCAACTCTGTCTGATGGTTCAGTATGTGGGTGAGAAGGATGTGTTCTCTCTTCCCTTGCAGATTTTTTTTCCCTTTGCTTCAAACCAACATTTGGCTTTATTTCCTCGATAAGTCTTGATTAGAATGTTTTAGAAAACCTAATGTTATTTTTAACATTTCATATTGTTCATAAAATCAAATTTCTGCCCACATTTTTTAATAGCTAATTTACAGATTGGGCACAATTTGACATCACTGCTTAATTTATTTTTAAAATATTTTTTATTCTACACATCAAAGTTTTGAAGGCAAATAACTTTGTGTTATGTGATCATTGATTAAAGTGGTTAAATCTTGTATTTCCACTGTAAATTATTAGTGGCATATAGCAAAATGTAGCTATGTGTGTTTCTATGTGTGTTATGTGTGCACTTCTAGTTTGGACACACCAAAAATATGGGACTGAAGCAATTTTGGGAAAGAAAATCTCACTAAATCCAAAGGTAAATTAACAGCAAGGAGCAAACACAACTATTGAGGAGAAGCATTTCAGCCAGGAGTGATAAGTAAATTCCCATGTCAGCAGGCTCTCCATCATCCTTTGTGTCCATCACAGAGAGGGAAGCAGTCCTCCACAGGCTGTCTCCCAAAACTGTCATTGGGGTCAAACAAAGCAGGATGTCATCTCAAAAACCAGATCCTATTATTCTATGCAGGCTGAGATTCCTACCAAAGGCTTACTTTTGATGAAATTAGAGAATGCAAGAAAAAATACTACTATGACAGGTTTTTTTTCCCCACTGTGGTATCCTACTTAAACAATAGTCATCTTTTACATTATCAGTAATAAAAGAGAGGACTGGGAAAAGCTGATGGTAAGAAAGGAGAAGAAATTGGCAAGGAAGGAACAAGGAAGGTAAATGACTAAAACTGTATCAGTTGGCATTGTAGTGAATTCACGCAAGACAAACTGGCCCAGCAAACATAGCAATTAACTAGTTTTCTTACTGGAGAATGGCATAACAGTTTCTTCCACAAACCAAACCCAGAAATCTCACAATCACTGACAGATAGCTATGAGAAAAGGAAACAGAAATCATTTTGATAACTTCAAAATTTAACAGTGATATTTTCTTGTAGCAGGATTTGAGGAAAATTGAATTGAGATTTGTCTAATTAGATTAAATGTACTCATACACCTGTTTTGCCTATGGTAAATAGCTCTAACTGCTAATACAGGTGTTGTGAGATTGAATAAAGTGTGTTCACTTTTATCCCGAGGGTCTCGCATTTGTTCATGTTTCTATCACAGATGAGAAAAGACACAAAAAACCCCAACCAGGGCAAAGCCTGACTGATGAACTGTTACTATCTGAATGGACATAATCATATCTTGTAGTGATAAAGCCTTACTTTTTTCATTCTGCAGGTACACAAAGATGAAGACAGCGACCAACATCTACATCTTCAACCTGGCTATGGCAGATGCACTTGTTACCACGACCATGCCTTTCCAAAGCACCGAGTACCTGATGAACTCCTGGCCCTTTGGTGATGTGCTGTGTAAAATAGTGATTTCTATTGACTATTACAACATGTTTACCAGCATTTTCACGCTCACCATGATGAGTGTGGATCGGTACATTGCTGTGTGTCACCCTGTGAAGGCTCTGGACTTTCGTACACCTCTCAAAGCGAAGATAATCAACATCTGTATCTGGCTGCTGTCCTCATCTGTTGGTATATCAGCAATAGTTCTTGGAGGCACCAAAGTCAGGGAAGGTGAGTGTCAGCATTCAAAGTGCAGTTTTTTATTTATCAACTGACAATAAATTGTAGGTTCAAATATTGATCAAGCCTTATTTAGTCCTTCTTCAAAATTACACCTAAATTCTTGACATTTTGAAATATATAGTAAAACATCGCAGTACAACATATAAATAATTAAAGCTCAGATGCCCATATAAAAGAACAAAATGCACTTTGAAGCACTGCCTCTGCTAGATTGAGACCATCAAAAACTACAAGCAGACAGCAGGGGAAAATCTTCTGGAGTTTAGTCACAATGGGCAAATCTAGAATCAGTTTAGGTTGAAACTTGAAATGTGGACTTAAGGTTCTTTTTGTAGATGTTGTGAGAGTAGTTCTGATGAAGTCCCAAGAGCAGAAACTAGAATTCTTGTCAGTTTGTTATCACCGGCCATTTCACAGAATTTGAAGGCAAAGAAAGAAAAAGAAAGTAGGAAAGGAAAAGTCAGTTGCATGAGAGAGAAAATTAAGGTAAATTATATATGACAGTATCTCAAGATCATATTTAAAATGGGATGGGAATTTATACGGAAACCTGGAAAAGGTGAGAACAAGGACTGTCACAGGAAATGGAAATTCAGGCTATGGCAGGGAAACAGTTACAAGAACACAGTCAATGAAAACTGTATGCAGACCATGTGTAGGCTTTGCTTGAAATGCCTGTTCCATGAAGGACTGTGGATTTAGCTCCTGCAGCTTCTGACTCATTACCCTGCTATGAGATTAATCTGATTTTGAGATCTTCCTTGAGAAGGAAGGGAGAGAAGCATTTCCTCACACATGTGCTTCCTACCCACAGGTGTAAGTGCCGTACAGGGGCATCTCAGGATTTTCAAAAGCTGGAGACTTCTAATGGTGTCCTTGGGTTGGGATCATCCCATTACTGGATGGCTGGATAAAATACAGGCATTTATTTGGTAGGAGTCTTGTTTGAGATGTAAACAGCCTTTTGAAAAACTATTCATAATTTCCTACACTATCAACCTTTTCTATTTAGAAAGGTTTCATTCCTCTTGAGACCAATGTTTGCCTAAGGGCACTCTTTCATCTGGCAGACAATAAATGCACTATGTTAAGCTGTTTGACATAGACCAACGTGAAAAATCATTTCAGTAACAGCTGCTCAAGGGCGGATAGGTCTGGCTAAAGATATATAGATTTTCTTGCTGTTAGTCTTCTGTTAAGTAGGTGACAGAGAAGTCCTCTGGAAGCTTCTCTTTTCAGTGCTTTGGGGGATCACGTGTCTTGGTCTGCAGTGCTGTAGCTCTTCTCCCCAGTAAAGTTTTGACAGGCTCTATAAAACAAGGTCTGCCTGGGGAAACATTAACTTCAGGCATGTTTGGAAGAGTGTCTTGCTACATACGAGATCTTGAAGGCCATGGGACACTGGCTCAGGCAGGTGTTTTGTTGGAGCCTGCTCAACTAACAGAATATTCCTGTCATTCAGTGTCAGCAGCACGTTTAGATCAAGGGGCTCCTCTGAGGCCAGCAATGATTTAATGCCTTTTCCATGCCATGTAGAAGGCAGCCCTTTTTATAACTTGTGAAGCAGAGGCTGGTAATACAGAACACAGCTGGGCTAAATGAGGTTGGAAATATTGGCAGCTGCTTGTCAGCCGCTACTGTTCCTCCCTGCTTGTCTGATCTAAGGTCTCTCTCGAGCATTTAGTGTCAATTACCTTGTCTGGTGTGCTCATGACTTGCTCTGATAAATGCTGAAGTGGAAAGGCGAGGATGCTCCCCTTGCCTGACAGCTGGAGCTCAGCCCTGAAATTTGATGTCATGTTGCCTAAAACAGTTGTTGTTTATATGCTTCAGGGCCTCTGTTGGGTTCGCATTTAAGCAACAACTGAACAGCAAATGGAAAATGATTATACTTGAGGTTCCCTCACCGTGCTCAGTTAATCCATTTTGTTATCACAGCTCAGAATTGCTCCCAGGTGTGTCCTTTAGATACATTTTTCCTGCAGAATAAATTTTACATCTGTATAAATTTTCCTACTCTGGCCGTAATGGAAGTTTTCTTGCTGAAGAATTGTTCAGCTACCAAAAAAATAAAGGTATAATATTAACTCTCCATATTGCCAGTAAGGATATGAAGGGAATGAAAGTGACACAATCAATATTGTATATATAAAATGTATGTTTCCTAGACCAATATTAAGATTAATCTTAAATGGTAGTTTATCAAGCACATTATAAAATATATTTACACCAACTACCACATGGAATTCAGTGTTTTTCCTTAAATATATCAATATATTTGGAATATTTGTGCTTCCAAGTGGAAAATGTCAGTATGAAATCTGAAGATTATGACACTATTCATAAGTTCTGCAACTTTTCAGGCAGTAAAAATAGAATATAAATTGGATTTTATTATGTTCCACTTCCGAAGTTCCAGAAAATTAATATAGTGTTGTGCATTATGATCAGAGTTTCTAATGACTGTTTCCTACTTTTAAACTGGGAAAATGTAAATGGATTCCATAAAGTACTATGCTATGGCATTACATGTATCATATGCAATACATTATTAATAATGACTTTAGAATAAGATCTTCCATAGAAAGTATACTGCAATGAGATGCAAGATAATAATTTAGTTTGTATTCAATAATTTGGAATTCTAAAATAACATTGCCAACCAAAAATTATAACAAAATACCATGAGGATGACCTAAAAATTTTGATAAGTATGTGAAATTATGTCAATAGATGTGAAGAGGCCATTTCTTCTGGGAGTGGGTTTCAGTAAGTAGCTGGATGTGGTCTGGAGCAGCCATCCCTGACCACACTTCATTTTCATCCCACACATCTGGAGGCAGCTTTACTAATTTAGATGACACAGCTGCATCCTGATTCTATGTCATGGCTGCTAAGCCGTGACCTACTACAAATAGCAGTAATAATTGACAGGAAAATTTCTTTCAAGATGATTGTTGCCATTTCTAGAATGAAATTAAGTGAAAGCAAGTATGCTTATGAAAACCTACATCACAAAGGATTTAGATAAGTTCACTGAGTGTCAAGTCACACTTGTGCTGTCATCTGAGTATCCTGCATCAGCCTAGAAAAATGTCTTTTCCATGTTCAGTTTTCAGAATCATAAATTTATTTAAAATAAACCCCAAAAATATTTCACATTTTTAGCTGTAAATGTTTTCTATTAAAATGTTTCTGTATTCAATATTGCCCAGCAACAGCTTTCTGATATCTAACCATGGAAATGTGTATATGGCACTATAACGATAACTTCCTCTCCTAATTGTTTTTCCAAACAAATTTTCTGCAATATCTTTTTGATTTGGAAAGCCTTTTTATAGCAGGGAAATATGACCTGATTTTTTTTTCTGATGTGTCCTGATGGAGACAGATATGAAAAAGTGATGTGCAGGAGTACACTGAATGATTCCACTCTTAGATCTGAATCAATGAAAAACAATACATAATAATTTGTAGAGGAATGACAAACTCAGTAGGGAAAATGATAAAAAATCCAAAGAAATTTACAGGATAAAATCTAAGCTACAATTCAGAGTGAAAAATCTCTGTGTTACCCAGACTTCTCTTCAGTAGAGTTGAACTGCTGACAGTAGTTGTAAATTTACCCCTTCTCTTGCCTTTTCATTGATCTTATTATTTATTTTTCCACATGTTTTATATGCTGGAAGGCTCTAATGAGTTCAGCAAAATAAGCTTCAAATATTTCATTCCTTAGCTTCCTCCTGTTAGATGAAATATTTCTGCTAAATACATTCAAGTGACAGCCTGTGGCTCCGAATCCTGGCATGGGCAATGGGAAAGGGAGTGGACTGATCTCTGTAGCCCAGATCCTGCAGTCTCTGCACAAGCTGCATTTCCAATGGCATGATCTGCTAAAAGAGTAGCTGCCATTTTACTCCATGCACACATGTATTTTATTTGCTTCTATTTAACAGAAAAGAAGACGTTTCCATGGGTTTTTCTGAATGTAAGCATTTGTGTGTATCATAGTTGTGCTGTGAAAGGCACATGGGAAAAGGTTATTACAAAATTATCATATATTGGCAAAATTTTCCTACTATCAAAACCTCCTTCAGCTTCTACCATTCATGATACCAAAAATCTTTCTCCACCCACAGACAAAAACGTATGTAGTTTGATAATAATGATGAGATTTCTGCTTTGCTGAACATGGTACTTAGTCTGGTTTTAAATCTCAGTGAGATTCAAATAGAAACAACTTTACAGATTTTGTTTTTGTGCTCTGCTTTTTTTGATCCTCCCATGGGAAAGAAATTTCATACAATATTTTGCTTTTGAAAAAGCTCAAAACTCAGTAATTTCTAGACACAGCTGCATAAAACCAGTTTCAATGGTAACTGAAAGCTTCCTTGGAATGATTTAATGATAACTCCATTTATTACTATCGCAGTACATGCTAATCACTTTTCCTAGGTTACGCTATGATAATGACATTGTTTAGAATATCAAATAACAAAGCAATTTTCTTCTTGCTTCCTTCATTTTTAGATACCGCTAGCACTGAATGCTCCTTGCAGTTTCCAGACAGAGATTATGTGTGGTGGGACATCTTCATGAAAATCTGTGTCTTTGTCTTTGCGTTTGTTATTCCAGTTCTCATTATAATTGTTTGCTATACTCTGATGATTCTGCGCCTGAAAAGCGTGCGTCTTCTCTCCGGCTCTCGGGAGAAAGACCGAAACCTGCGCCGCATCACCAGGTTGGTGCTTGTGGTTGTGGCAGTCTTTATCATCTGCTGGACCCCAATTCACATTTTTGTGCTGGTGGAGGCCTTAGGGGACGTGTCCCACAGCACTGCTGCCATATCCAGCTATTACTTCTGCATTGCTCTGGGTTACACCAACAGCAGCCTCAACCCAATCCTTTATGCCTTTTTGGATGAAAACTTCAAGAGATGCTTCAAGGACTTCTGCTTCCCCTTCAAGATGAGGATGGACAGGCAGAGCACCAGCAGAGTCAGAAACACTGTGCAAGACCCAGCTTACATGAGGGAAGCAGGTGGGGCAAACAAACCTGTATGACTAGTCGTGGAAATGTCCTCTTACTGTCCTCAGGAGAGGGAGGAGTCCAACGACCTGGGACTGACACAGATTACCACTGCAGTTTGAAATCAACTCACCCAGACAGACATTTCTGGGGGGAATTTTCAGAATATTTCAGAAATCCCAGCAGTTTGAACTAATGCAAGTTTATCATTGATAAACAAGAGTCTCCTGAAAATCGGCTCAAATGAAAAGGATCTGGATGATGGTCAGGTTTTGGCACCATATCTGCCATACTTGAGCCAGCACTAAAACACAATTTTGCAGAGTGAAGAGATTGTGTTGCACCAGGTGATTCCGGATAAGAATAATTCTCACTCGTCTCTTTACAATATGTAACATTATAAAAGGCAACATTTGGTCATAAAACTGAACTATACTAGAAACTTCTGCCCCAACAGTGATTGCTTCTAAAGTACGGAGTTTGACAACTTGATCCTCTTTAACAGTGAAGAGCGTTAGGTTTCTGTGACAAATGCCACAGCTATAATCAATATTGTCCTCAATTAATATATCTGTAACCCTTGTTTGTGCTGTGAAAATCCAATTTGAGCATGATCTACCCACACACCAAAGTGGTTTTATTGTGTCTGTGTATGGTAAAGCCTTTTGGCATTCAAAAATACTGGAATTTAATGGGAATTGTTATCACATGTTTAATCACCTCTGTGTAATGTTTTGTATGTGTGATTTTCCAAAATGGTTGTTTCTTTATTGAGTCTGAATGATATTAATATGCATTTTCAGAGTGTATATTGAACAAGAGGCTTGAAAACTTCAAATGCTTCACTTGTTACAAAATTAATGAAAAGTTGTCTTACATTCATTACATGGAGGAAACACTCTCATGTGTAACTTGCTTTCCTGGACAGTATGTAAGCAGACTGAAATAAATATTTGACAAATTAGAAACAAGGAAACTAGCACATGAACTAACTGAATTGATACAACGGAAATTAAATATTACTGGATGCTTTAATGGCATTTGATGGAAAAAGATCCTGGTTTATTGATGCTGATGTATTTTCTTTGATACAGTCCTATAACTTCAGTAATTTTCTCTGTTTTCCTGTGAAGATGGAGGTGTCAAGGCACAGATAAATAAGTTACTAGGTTTCTGAAGGTAAGTTCATGGTAAAATGGAGCCTAACTTCCAGTCTATAGACTTTTGTCTTCCTAATGTTATATATCACAACTCCCACTACTGCTGTTGCTGAAATTTGGCTCTCATTATCTTCACCCTGAACACACACACCATACATCTTCTTGTTAATTTTGTTCTTTATACAAAAGAAAGAATTATGTGGGTGCCTTCATTTCATGGAAAATTTTCTCAGAAACACAATCTGATTTGGTCCTATCAGACCAAAAATGCCTTTTGCACACCAGTAAAAATAATGAGTTTTTTCTTGGACTACCTGGCAGTCCAGTTCCTGGGAAGTGCTGTAGAAATTCAGCTTTCTGCAGGACTTCCATATACCTTATTGTTAATACAGTCATGTATGTCAAATTTTTTTATATTAGTTTGATAAATGCTGTTGTTGAAATATTCAAGACAACTCTTTCTGGACAAGTCTAGCACTTTCTGATTGTTTCTACATGAAGAATGATTAGCTGACCTCAGGATGTTTTCCTTACCTGGGGAAGTGAATGATGCTTACACAAGTGCTGAGTCTCACCTCCTATTCTGTCATTCATTCATTTTCTTAACATGCATCCACCTTTCTAAATTAAGTCCTGACCTTTAAATGGCCACAAAAAGAGAATGTTTAAGGTAAAAGTTGAAAATCCAAGGTATTTATCAAGTTAGGAGTAAGTGAAAGGGGAAAGAACTAGAATCTAATGAACTGTTTTCATTCAAAATAACCTATGTTCCTGTTCATGACTTACCATTTGCATATGTAAGTTTGTGCTTGAATAGGGTTTTTGTTCTACACATTATGTGCAATGCTTTGTATTGTAATGAAAAATCAATGTTCTTAATTTGCCAAAAGGAGGCTTCTAATAATATTTTTGAGGTTTATGTTTTTAAGAAGGAGATCATAATTACCATCACAGTGGGAGGAAATTATAACTTCCTAACAATTAAGCTTGCAAAATGTTATAGGAATGTGTCCTTAAGGTTTATTTCTATAATTGAACATTAACAGCCAAATTAGTCTGAATGCAGTAGACAGGTGTCTTGGAAGTTTTCCTGTCAAATTGAGCAGTTCACTGAAAAACAGCAGGAAACTGGCCAAGACATCTTTAACACATGAGAAAGTACATTAGAAATGATACTATGCTTTTGCTCACAGAATCTGCTTCTAGATGACTGAATTCCCATTGCAAAGCAGTTCACTTACTTTGTAACTTCAAGCCAATGATTTTCTCTCTCTCTCTTGTGCTGGCTCTAGGATGCAGCAAGAGGTGAAGGCAGGGTAGGAGCTGCCTGGCCCAGGAGCAGGTCTGGATGGGGAATGGGGCAGCAGGGACAGGCTGCGCTGTGCCATGGGCGCAGGAGGATGGCGGTGTGGGGCAGACACAGGCAGGCAGCCTGGGAATTGGTTGTTCTTGCTGCAACCACTCTTGCATCCCTTTCTTTTTGGAGGTTCCAAAAATTCGGTACTGCAAAAGCATGGTTGTGGACCTGCTTGTGGGGCTAAATTCCAATCAATCGACTAGTATGGATAGCTAATATGTCACTTTCTGTGTTTCTACTTCTTTTAACTGAGAAATCTTCTATTTGGAAGATATACTTGGTGTTCTGGTTCAGGACTGTCCAATACATTGCGGAGAAATGATGCTTAGATGCTGAGAAACCCCAAGTTTAGTTAATGAACAATATCTGAACATGATGAGAAATTCAGGGAAAACTGAAAATGATATTTTTGTCCTGTGAAAGGCAAAGGGAAAACACACCATTTTGAGCCAGAATTCCTCTTGGTTTTGCTAAATTAATGTAGTCTTTGTAAAGAAGACAGGGAGATTGTGCTGGGATTTTATTTTCCTTAATTACTTATCAATTCTTAATCAAACTTAATCATTGGCTGTTGTCTTCCCAATGAAGTTTTTTCTTCAGAAGAAAATATGGAGTCAGCAAAATTGATTCAGTTTGTGACAGCTTATGTAATCTGTCAATTAAATAAAGTAATTGTGCCTGGATATTTTTTAACTGGATCTTACAGGTGTGCAATACAATATAGTGAGCACATCTATTCAATGCCAGAGTGAGAGATTGGAAGACATTTCAACTGACTGAATCAAAGTATTTTGGCTTGGGCTTTTCTTTTTGCTGGACTGCATGTGGCTTGGGAACTGTTGCTGCATAAAGCTCTGACATGCAAGGTGGAATGATCTCAGACTGCAGATTTTGATCATTTAGTTAAAAGTGTTTTGATGTCCAGTTGTGTGAATAATGCAAGAGAAGGTGCAAGCACTGGGAGATGCTTCCTGGAGGGGATCAGCTGAGAGCAGGAGCTGCTTTTCCTGCTGTGTTGAGTAAAACCTGTCACACTGTGTGCAAGGGCTGCTCAGCTTTGGCTTACACCCCTGTGATTTAACCCCAGCTAGCAGCAAAGAGGAATGGAGTCACCTTCTCACTGCCCATTCCTGCCCCTCCAAAAAACTTGGGGGTTGGGATAAAAGCAGTTTAATAATGGAAACAAAGTAAAATGTACTGATATTGATACTAATGCTAATAATATTAGTAATATAAAGGTGACAGAAAAACAAAACCTAGGACAGACACCTGATGCCCAATACAATCACTTACCACCCCCTGGCCAATGCCTGGCCCATCCCACACAGTGCCTGGCTCCTTTTGGCCAGCTCCTCCCAGTTTATACACTGAGCATGAAGTCCTGTGGCATGGAATTCTCTTTTGGCAAGATTGGGTCAGCTGTTCTGGCTGTGGTCCCTCCTATCCTCTTGTGCACCTGCCTGCTGGCAGAGCATGGGAAACTGAGAAGTCCTTGACTCAGGGTAAGTAAGCCCTACTTAGCCACAACTAAACCATCAGTGTGTTATCAGCATGTTCTCCTACTAAATCCAAAACACAGGACTGTACTTGCTGCTCGGAAGATAATTAACAATAACCCAGCTGGAATCAGGACAATCATTTCTGCAAAATAATCATGGAAATTACCAGCCTGTTCACTCTGCTCTCCCTCCAATGTTGATTTGATAGTTGGCAGCAAATACAAGTTCTCTTATTCAGTTTCCAATTCTGTTAATACCAGTGGCACATCTCAGGTGGGCTTAGGGATCTACAGAAGGGAAATACCCATCTCCTTCATCAGTAAACAAACCCAGCCAAAGGACAGACTGATGGCTGTAGGAATCTAGGTTGCTGCTTCCCTGCTGAAAGGAATGCCAAAAATACCTGCAGCTTTGTGCTCCACTGCAAATTTGTAGCAAACCCTGTAGTAGGCCTCCTGGAGGTATTATTGTCTATTAGTGCTTTAAAGGTGTGAGGACTCGATAGTGGGTACATAGCATGAGAGAAAATTGACAGTGACAGCAGTTGCTTAGGAAAAGTGTACAGAAGCTAGGAGACATGAAAAATAGAGGTTGTGAGCACTTGTGTACCTATGTATGGGTGTACAAGATTTCTTTGTGCTTTTAATTTATAAACTCTGATTTTATGTATTTTACTTCTATATATTATAAAGCAACCGATTTCTCTTCAAATTAGCTGAAATGTGTTTTAAAAGCTTTGAAAATCCAAACAATTTAGAGGGTCTTGATGTATGGAGATAAAGTAGACAGCCCTGGTACTGAAGTACAAAACATTTGGCAGAGTGGGAGAACAGTGCAAGGTAAAAGGAGAGTTTTGAAACTACTGTGAAATACTGCAAACTTTCTTGGTAGAGGCCATAATGTCCTGGAAGAAAAGTACTTATTACTGCTGATGCATTTCCTCCCAAACTGTCTCTCATTAAATACTTAGCTGTCTGTCCAAAACAGCCACTATAATTTTTTAAATACTTTCCTGTACAAGAAGCTTTTCAGAAAGCAACACCTGGAAGTAGACATGAAGGCAGCCTAATGATAGACCTGCAACTAAATCTTGCTCTTCAGTAAATGCTTACTATGGGAAAAAAAATCA